GCGGGTGCGGCAGCGGCGGCTGAATCTGAAGAAAGTGTCGCACTACATTCGGGCCTGTCGAGAAGCAGAGCTGCCGCTGCTGGCTGCCTGGGCGCAGCAGCAGCTCGAAGCAGACCGCAGGGTGCTGCTGCAGCTGCAAAACAAGCACGAGGAAGGCAAGCAGCAGCAGCAGCAGCAGCAGTGGAGGTGGCAGCGTTGTTGTTACTGTTGTGTTTTCGTGCTGCTCACTTGCTGCTTTTTTCCAGTTTCCACTCAGGCGTGCTGAAAGCGCAGTTTAGGTGAAGAATGAACTGCTGCTGCTGCTGCTGCTGCTGCTTGCAGAGCACCGTGCTGCATTTGCTGCTGCTCTTGAGGAGAAGGCGGCCTTCGACGGAGTGCAGGAGGACAAGCAGCAGTGGGTGGCGCGGCAGCTGCAGCAGCGGCAGCAGCAGTTTGCTGCTGCTGCTGCAGCGCAGCGGCAGCGCCTGCTGCAGATGCTGCAGCTGCAGAAGGTGCAGCGAGCCAGAGAAAGAATGGAAGCAGCAATAAGGAGACAGAGAGAGCTTGAGGAACAACGCAAGAAAGAAGAAGAATTCAAGGTCTGCTGCTGCTGCTGTTAACGCTGCTGCTGCTGCTGCTGCTGCTGTCTTTGGTGCTCCATGCCGTCGAATCTATGCTGCTTCAGTCCCCTGTGCTGCTGCTGTTGCTGCTGGTTTGTTCGGTCTGTTGGCTTTTTTGTCTTCTTGCTGCTGTGCCTTTTTTCTGCTCGGGGTTCCTGCTGCTGCTGCAGCTGTTTCTTCTAGCTGCGGCTGCTGCGCTGCTGCTCATTTTGCTTCTGAATTCATTTTGCTTTTTGCTGCAGCGGCAAATGGAAGAAATGGAAAGACAGAAAGCAGAAGCAGAGGCGAGAGAGAAACGGCTGCAGGAGATAGCTGAGAAGCAAAGACAAAGAGAATTGGAAATTGAGGTATGTTGCTGCTGCTGCTGCTGCCGGCCTTGCTGCTGCTGCTGCTCCTGTTTCCAGTGTTGCTGTTGCTGCTTACATTGCTGCTGCGGGTCGCGGCGCTGCTGCTGCTTTTTTCCTTGCTGCTCTGTAGCTCTTGCTGCTGCTCTAATGTGCGCGCTCCTGCGAATGTGCTGCTGTTGCTGCTGCCGCTGCTGCTGCTGCTGCAGGCGAAGCACGGCCTTGCAAACCGAGAAGGCAGCAGACGGGCAGATAGTCAGTCTTTGAGCCACAAGTCGGAGTCTCCTGCTGGCAGCAGCAGCAGCAGCAGCAACAGCGGGCAGCCGGTGTCGCCGACGGGGTCGAGGGACCAGCAGCAGCAGCAGCAGCAGCAGCAGCAGCAGCAGCAGCAGCTGGAGTGGAGGCGCAGCACGCCGCTGACTTCTCCTGATAAAGGCAGAGAGACAAAAGGGAGACAGGAGACTTTCTTCCGCAGGGGAGAAAGAGCAGAAGCAGCAGCAGCAGCAGCAGGCGAGGTCCTCAACTGGAGGAACATGAACAGAGACAAGCAGCAGCAGCAGCAGCAGCAGCAGGAATTCCCGGTGCGCCAGCAGCAACAAGACTTCCCAGCACGCCAGCAGCAACAAGACTTCCCAGCACGCCAGCAGCAGCAGCAGCAGCAGCAGCAGCAAGACCAGCAGCAAACAGAAAACCTGCCGGCAGAGGATGAAGGCTTCACTCGCGTGCGGCGAAGAAAGTAAAGACAGCAGCAGCAGCAGCAGCAGCAATAGCTGTTGCTGCTGCACCACCCTCGTGTCTCGTTATTTCTTTTGATGTACCAAATTTAATTCACTCACTGCTGCAGCAGCGACTGCAGCAGAAACAGCTCCTACTGCTGCTTTTGCTGCAGCAGCAGAGCTGCTGGTCAGACGCACTCAGAGGGCGGAGACTCATTTGCCCATCTGGCACAAGGGGACTTTTCACAGCTAGCTAGCTGGCTAGCTAGCTAGCTAGCTAGCTAGCTAGCTAGCCACCTCAGCTAGCTGCAGCTAGCTAGCTGAGGAGCTTAGCGCAGCTAGCTGTAGCTGGTCGTGGAGGGCACTGTGGCTGCGAGCAAGCTAGCTGGGGTTGCCACTAACTGCCCACGAACACAGAAGCCGCCTCTAGCCAGCTAGCTAGCTAGCTGGCTAGCCGGCCAGCCGTTGCCCAGGAAAGTGGGCACCTCTGGCTCGGCGGCTAGCTAGTCTCACTGGAGCTAGCCAACTGGCTAGCTGCACACTGCATTTAACTAGCTAGCTGGCTAGCTAGCTAGCTAGCTAGCTGGCTGGGCGGGCCCCAACTAGGAAGTGAGTGTTGGGTCACTTGAAGTTGATTTCAGATTTCATGTCCCCTTGAGGTCTCTCGCTGGGTAGCTAGCTAGCTAGCTGGCTAGCTAGCTGGCTAGCTAGCTGGCTGACTGGGTAGCTAGGCGGCTAGCCAGCTAGGTAGCTAGCGTGGATCGCTGGGTAGGCAGGTAGCTGAGTAGCTAGCTAGCTAGCTGATACAAACTTTATTTCAAAAGTTCAGAAATTAAAATAAATATAAATAAATAAATAATTTATAAATAATTTATTTCTGTTTACTACTAAAACAAAAAAAGAAGTCCGCCGGCTTTGGCGGGTTAGACGCCAGCTGCAGCGGCACGAGCAGCAGCTGCTGCTGCAGCTCCTGCCGATGCTGTAGCCTTTGCTGCTGCTGCTGCTGCAATGGGGGTGGCCAGGTCCACAAAGTGGCACCCGAGTGAGACTTCTGCTGCTTCAAGTGCGCCAGCTTTTGCTGCTGCTGCGTTCCCTGCAGCAGCAACAGCAGCAGCAGCAGCTGCTGCAGAAGCAGCGACTCCTCTGCAGCAGCCAAAGACCAATAGATATTGCTGTGCCCTCTTATGCAGAAGTGGCAGGTGCTCTGCCAGCCAGTATTTGCTGCTGCTGCTGCTGCTGCTGCTGCTGCTCTTCGCGTTGCTGCAGCAGCTCAAGTTCCGCACTCTCTCTCTCTTCCTTCCACCTCACACGCCCCTCCTGCTGCTGCTGCCTCTTCTGCCGGTTGCTGCTGCTGCTGCTGCTGTTGCTGCTGTGTCTTCGTAGCTCGGCCTTTGCAGGCCCTGAAGCTGCGGGCTCTTTTACGCTGTTCGCTGATGCAGCTGCTGCTGCTGCTGCCGGGAGCAGCAGCAGCAGCGGGAACAGCAGCGGCACCGTTTCCATACTCCACGCTGCTGCGTGCTGTTGCTGCTCCCGACCGACGCAGGCCTGAGCTCAGCTTGCGATCTGTTGCAGGAGTTGCTGCAGCTGCTGCAGCAGAGCCTTGCTGCTGTCCTGGAAGCAGCAGCACCTGCTGCTGCTGCTGCTGCTGCTGCTGGCCAACAGGCGGCAAAGGGCCCCCAGTCATCATGTAGGGCTGCTGCAGCGGCTGTTCCAGCAGCGGCTGCTGCTGCTGCAGCGGCGGCGGAATCACACTGCCTCGCCGCTGCAGCAGGACTGGCTGTTGCTGCTGCAGCACACCAGGCTGCTGCTGCGGCTGCTGCTGCTGCCCTGGTGGCATTCGAAGCCGCGGATCCTGAGGTGGCTGCTGCGGCGGTATGAAGCATGGCTGCTGCTGCTGCTGGGGCAAGGGAAATTGCTGCTGCTGCACGTGAGGCAAAAGCAGCAAATCTTGCTGCTGCTGTTGCTGCTGCACCGGGTAGTGCATCATGAGCTGGCGCTGCACTGGCATCTGCGGCTGCTGCTGCAGTTGCTGCTGTGCTATTTGCTGCTGCGGCTGCTGCTGCAGTGCTTGCGGTTGGTGCTGCTGGAATGGCTGCTGCAGCAGCTGGTGCTGCTGCTGCTCTTCTGTAAAGGGCAGCCCCATGTGCATGCGCCCAAACACTGCTGGCTCCCCGCTCGGTTGCTGCAGCTGCTGCTGCAGCTGCTGCTGCAGCGGCTGCTGCAGCGGAGGCTGGAGCGGCTGCTGGAGCGGCTGCTG